GCAATCAAAAATGCAGTTGGCCGGCCTCGACCAGATTTCTTTTGGCGTTGCTTTCCTGATGGAAAAGATGTATGTTCCATTGGTTCCAAATCCTTGTTAGCATTAAATCCGGGAGTTCATTTTCTTTAGATAAATCCACATTAGACTGGGGGTTTTGGCATCAACTTTTTCTGTTTCTTTGCCTGTTGACTAATGCTACTAATTGACCTTTCAAGAGATCTAAAGTAAAGGAGGTTAGAGTTTTGGCCACCTAATCGTATGTTAGGAAGCTGTTGTGTGATGTTGGGCACAAACATAACACTCAAAATTTGTCATTTATATATGGGAATATGAGTTGTGTCGATTTTGATCTTTATCTATTTTTCACTACTGGTAGGTTTATGATAAGTGGGGAGGTGTACTGTGCCATGGTGAGGATAGTGACATAAAGGAAGGACATAAGAGTTTCCCAAGTGGTCATGCTTCATGTAAGAAATGCTTCCTGCACCATTATACACTGTTTCATTCAATTCGGATCCTTTTACTTCTACAAAAGGCAGCCTATAATAAATCCATTAGTCTGATACAGTTTAGCATTGCTCTGCAGGGTCCTTTGCAGGTTTAGGCTTTCTCTCATTGTACTTATGTGGAAAGATTAAAGCATTTGATCGGAAAGGGCACGTGGCAAAATTGTGCATTGTCTTCCTTCCTCTACTTGCTGCATCTCTTGTTGGCATTTCTAGAGTAGATGACTATTGGCATCATTGGCAGGACGTGTTTGCCGGAGGCCTTTTAGGTCTGTTCATTCGCGATCTCTTTTCTCTAATACTTTAATTGTAAGAATGTTAGAGCTTTATACATGGTTCATTTTTTGCAGGACTTGTCGTGGCTGCATTTTGTTACCGGCAATTCTTCCCTTCTCCTTTTAATGATGAAGGTTGCATAATTTTTCCTCCTTGCATTTCTTTTAGAACTGAATTAGATAGTTCAGTTTTCCTAAATATTCTTTTGAATTCAGGATGGGGTCCTTATGCATATTTCAAAGCATTGGAGGAGACACGGAGCAATACACATGCGGCCAGTCCTGTAAATGCACTCAGTGTGCAGGTGATGGGGGCTCAGAATGTGAATGAACGACGTGGGCAAAATGGGGATCCATTTGCAGCAGTCTCCGCAGACCGCTATACAAGCATTAGGCTGGATGAAATAGTATCAGGGGAGAAGTGATATCTTTTGTAAATGTTGTTGCTTTGTTTAGGTCCGCGTATTGCTTGCTTGGAATATGTAGATACCAGTTGAAAGACAAACAGTGTAGACTAGAAGTTAGTTTTAGCACCATATACAGAGCTTAGTTTGATATTAATAGTTCTGTGAATCCATTCATGCATGCTTTATATTTCTTGGAACCACAAAATGAAGCCACACTTGCACAATGCCTGGTTGTGGAGTTCTGGTTGGCCTGACATTACTTCCTTGGATCAAACTATGCAATTTTTTTTATTATGAAGAACGGTACAATGTCACGTAATGTAAAATGAAAATATAAAGAATAGAGTAGAGTACGGTATCTGGGAAGTGATCTGTAGTCTCTACGGGACTGAGTACCGCCTGTTTGAGTTAACTACTACTGGGATAGGCAGATTATTAGTAACAGTGATGGAAGAAAACATCAGCTGTAAACTTGTAATAATTATATTAATAATGAGACATGCTAATCTGCTAATCCTTGGACCTTTGACCATGCTAGTTAAATGCTAGTTAAAGTTTAGTTGGCATGCCCTGATTAGGTCTCCATTATTCAACATTATAGTTGCTTTCTGAGCTGTTCACCCACTGCCAATTAAACATTTCCATATGAACATGGACCGATCCAATTTCTCGGTTTCTTCCATCCATTTATTTATCAAATACCAACCAATTATGAGGCTCCATATTGCCACTAGCTTCTCTTGTTATTTAATTTAAGCTTTAATCTAATCTTGTTTATCTTCTAATCCACAAATGGTCTGTTGCCACCTACTCTGTTCCTTTACCTGTGTAAAATAGTAAAGGTAAAGTACAAAGATGATTGAACAAGAAAAGAATATGGATTTTGGAGATGTATAGATATATAAAGAGATTGTTGACAAAGACTTGGCAACAAAATATGTGAAGCAAGCAAGAGAGTGAATGATAATTCAAATATTCAAGGGACAATTTAAGCACCGAAAAGAGCTCATCTTCACTTGAAAAACACATTGCTTTTTGCACGTTTCAATCCCATTTGGGTTGCGAGAGGGTCAAAGGAGTTTTATTGCCTCCCTCTGGCTAGTGGCCTACGACCAATCTTTCATCTTTTTTAAATTCTGTTTGCATGTTTTGTTTTGTACATCACACAACCCTTTTAAAGGGCAAAGAGCAAATTTAAAAAAGAGTTTTTCTATTTAAATCCTATACTTTTCTTTGTTCACTCAAATACTTTCTATTTTTTTATTTTTATTTTTTAATGATAAGCGATCTAATACAAGAAGTTTGAACTCGTATCAAAGGCAAAGGAAAATCCTTGGTCACGAGTTAAAATCATCGTACAGTACATCAGAAATAAAATCAGGAGATTCCTCGAATCAGTATAGAGAACCCTCGATATGCAAAGCAAAATGCGCTAAACGATGAGCCACACTATGGGTAAAACCTTCTTCAGTGACCTGTGTCAGCAAGCTCTTGGTATCCTCTCCACCACTGGTCCTATGACAGACCTATCAATGGAGTGACTTCGAAGTGATGTAACGATCTGGAGAGCATCACTTTCAAAGACAACATTTTGAAAACCCCTTTCCATCTCCAATATTGTACCCGTTCATGTAGCCAAAGCCTCCACTTGTGACGCAGAGAAAACATTAGTCAATTTAATTGCACAATCCACCACAAATTTGCCGGTGGAGTCTCTCACAACCACACCGACGCTGCCCTCCGTGGTCCCTGGCTTCCAAGCACCATCCACATTTATTTTAGGAGTGTTATCATGTGGTGGCTACCACATTTGTTTTATTTGACCCTGCCCACTTTGAGGACCCAAACAATTATTAACCCGCAAAAAATCTTGTAGCCTTAAAGATGCATGCAAGCTGACTTGTTCAGGCCTACTTGTCTTATTATTCCACAGTAATCCATTGCATGCTTCCCAAATTGCCCAACCCTTCATGAGAAAATTTGCAAAGTCATGACAGCTTAATACTTAACCCTAATGCATCTATACACACACCCCACCATTCTTCATATTAAGTTTTAGAAAAATACAAACTCTTCTACACCCTATTGCCATATTACTCTTCTTTTCCAATCCAAAAAACTACTACACTCTCATCTTCTCTTCACAAACACTAATCTCATCTTTGAATATCCATGATCTAATAAAGCCACAATATAGTTCACATGTACGAGGAAAAAGAAACTTAAGTAAAGGACGATGAGCAGGATCAACAACCTAAACAAAGAATAAATAAATATGTCAATGATGTGTCCATTAGCAGAATTTAACCTTTTAAAACATTTATGTTACTATACTTTTTTTTTTTTTAATGTCACTGCAGTGTCCATTACCATTAAGACAATTACAGCCATCTGAGGGGATGCCATAACAACAAACTTGAAAAAAAAAATTGTGAAATTTTGGGAAGGTAGTGGATTTTCTTAAAAATTGTGAAATTTTGAATTAGAAGTTTGGGTGAACAAAGAGAAGTACGAGATTTAAATATAAAAACTCTTTTAAAAAGTCTCAAGCAACCAAAAAGTAAAAAAGTTTTATAAAAATTTCGGGTTAGGTCAAGTGGCGAGGGAGGGTGAATACTTACGAAAAGAATGCCTTAGCTTGAAATGGAAATTAAAAAAGAAAAGATTTATCAATAAATTAAATACAAATTTATAAATAAACCCAATCCTAGACATGTATTTATAAAAAAACCCAAACACTATTTAAACATAGAAACACACCCAAAATCAACCCCAAAATCAACAATTGTATATTTTTTGGGTGTGTTTATAAAGTGTTTTGGATGTTGGGTTTTTTTATAATTTCAGCTCCCATTTTGGGTGTTTTAGTGAAACTCCCTAAATTAAATCCCATGTTAAAAAATGTTTAAAAAATGCCTTAGCCCGAGGTGAAGTCCTTTCCGTGGTAGATTTGCACACTTAGAATAACTATCAAGGTAGGAGCAAACTAGAGTTGATCCCAGTTGAACCCCCTCTGATAGTTAAGTTAGAAATAGTAGAAAAAGTGGAGAGAATGAATGTAGGGTTTTCAAGGTGATAATATTTATTATCTTCGTCCAGAGATAGTGGAGGGTATTTATAAGGGGAGAAGGAGAGACAAAGATATTAAAGGATATATTTTCCTCTCCCCTTCCTTTGATGTGAGTTACATTAAATGTCCGGTTTCTGATCGCCATGCTTATTTGATTGGGATCAAGTAAGCGGCATGGGATGAGAGGTGCATTAACTGATCTCTTTCCATCGCCAAGTTGTTGATCAAATTAATGGAGTAATTGATTCGACAGGAGGTCTGACTACGTCTGCCCATCATCAATGCGCTTCTGGCCCTACGACACCACCATAGTCGGGTCAGTATTTTGGGTGCCTGAGCGCCACCTCGCCTTTGGTCTTGTCAAGTTCCAACTAGGAGGCTCTCCATCGATCTTCGGGGGTATCGAGTCTGATTGGGTCGGTGTATATGTAACCCGGCCCACCTACCGCTAGGCGGCGTTCTGCAATTGGTTCGGCTCAAAGCAACAGTATAGGCCATTAACAAATACTTTAGAAACCGCGTCATTTTTCTTTTTGCCGGTTATATTTGAATCCCCAAGTACTTTGTAGTAGATGAGATGTTAATGAATTGCAAATTATGAGGCTATATTCACGCCTAAGCATGCTATTATTTGTTTATTCTTTTCTTTTCTTTTCTTTCTCATAAATAAGAAGTAATTTACAATGAATTGTGCATTACTTTTGATCGCTTTTAAATTTAGATTTATGTCACCATCCGCCGTCCAGCCAGCAATCAGCAAAGCAAACAAGCCGCGTTTTGTCTCTTTTAGTGAGTGACAAAATATAAAACCCCAAATAAATTCCAAATTTACTTCTTCATTTCTTCTTCCTACTCCTCTGTATCTCTACTGTAGGGAGTCGGTGATCCACTGCACTCTGCACCCAACCAAATTGACAACTCCGTTGTTATTTTTTCCGCTTCACGCGGCTTTCCATTTCAGCCCCTCTGTTTTCGCTCTTCTTCACCAAAATCCACTCCCCTGCCACCTTAAAATCGAACCCAAAACCTGCCCGCTCTCTCTCTCTCTCTCTCTCTCTCTCAGAGACTCACTCGATCATACGAAATTTACACGTATGTCTCTCTCTCTTTTGGTTTTGTAAATTTTTATGCACAATGTATGCTTTCGTTAAGAATTGTTCATTTTGTTTTTTTACTCTGCATGTATGGAATTCGATGTTTATGTGTGTGCATCTTATTGTAGTTTATTTTTTCTTTCGTTTTCTGCGTTTTCCCCCAATGTTGGGTTTAAGCCTCCGTTTAAATTAAGGAAAATAAAAGAAATTGGAAAAACTCAAATCGACCGAGCCGAAATGTTGAGTTACATTATATTTGTGCGAGCGTTTCTTTTCCTTCTTCTTCACCTCTGCATAAATTTTATTGTTTTATTCATTTCTATGTCGTATCAATATATTCTTGTGCGGATGAACCTGAGGCCATGAGATTGAGTTTTCCCTTGATTTGAATTGCCAAGTGAGATTAAGAGTACATGTTTCAGTGAGTGGGCACAGTTACAGGATATCTACATAAATTTGTACACTTTTCTAATTTGTTACTGTAATATTGCCGACTCCTCCTTTCCCTCTTTTTGTTGTTGTTATTTTGAGTGTTTTTATGCTCCAATTTCCACCATCATTTCCATCAACTTACAGTGGTTTTATTCTTTCCTTTTCCTGTTAGTAAAAAAATGCCAGAAATTCAGTTGGGTTCTCACACTGTAAGATCTCATGGAGTAAAGGTATTGAGGATTCATATGCATGACTGGCTGATTCTACTGGTTCTTGCGGCGACAGATCTGGGTTTGAACTTGATAGAACCTTTTCACCGCTTTGTTGGAGAGGACATGATGACAGACCTGAAATACCCATTGAAAGACAATACAGTTCCCTTCTGGGGTGTTCCAGTACGTTTTGGTTTTGAGAAAACAATATCATGCTGAGAAAATTTGCAGAAATCTGAATATTGCATGAGTCTCACTTTTGTATAGATGAGGCAAAAACCTTACTTTTCACTTCTAACAGATAATTGCAGTACTGTTGCCACTTGCTGTCATTCTTGTTTACTACTTCATTCGAAAGGATGTCTATGATCTGCACCACGCCATTTTAGGTAATTTTCTCCCTTTTTTGTTTGTTATTTTTCGTGATTCTTGCATTGGTGAATGGTGTTTGCATGTTGTAGTATTTCAATAACACTTCCATTGTCTATGCTCATTCAGGCCTTCTATTTTCCATCTTTATAACCGCTGTTTTAACTGATGCAATCAAAGATGGTGTTGGTCGACCTCGTCCAGACTTCTTTTGGCGTTGTTTCCCTGATGGCAAAGGGGTGGGCCTTCTAGTGCATAGAATTCTTATATATTTTGATCTTTTCTTGACATAAACTTGGCATTTTTCAGATCTTGGTCATGCTCACTTATACATACATTGACATACAATTGATCCATGTCCAGGTGTTTGATCCAATCACAAAGAATGTCATGTGTACTGGAAGCAAGAGTGTCATTAAGGAAGGACACAAAAGCTTCCCCAGCGGGCATACTTCATGTAAGCAGTTTGATATTTCTGGAAAAATGTACATCGAAGGATTAGAGATTAGGGATGTGCTTAATGTCCTCTAAGGGAGATGTGTATGCTGACTATCTATTTTCTTTAGTTTATCTGCATATGTTTGACTTTGTATTGTTTTCTCATTTGCACTTTATCTTGATTTATCTGTAAAACCAGAAATTAGCCCAAATGTAAATCTGGTTGTCAACACGCAGGGTCCTTTGCAGGTCTTGGTTTCATTGCATGGTATCTATCAGGGAAAGTTAGGGTGTTTGATCGTAGGGGACATGTTGCAAAGCTCTGTATTGTCCTTCTACCATTACTTCTTGCGGCAATGATAGCAGTTTCTCGAGTTGATGACTATTGGCATCATTGGCAAGATGTTTTTGCCGGCGGGCTTATAGGTACCTTGTCCGCTTATGGCATCATTGGCATGATTTTTTGAGAAAAACAAAAATGTTTGTCAAGTTTTTCATTCTTTCTTATATATTTTGTGCAGGAATCACCATTGCTTCATTTTGTTACCTGCAATTCTTTCCACCTCCGTATGACACAGACGGTATGTACCTAAGAGTTCCTTTCTTAATGTTATCACTATATAGCTTCCCTTTCATTTTGTGTAACTCTGTGTTTTCATAGCTAAGGTTTTCTATTTCTACATAGTCCGTGAGTGTTTTTTTTTTCTTTCAATGAAACTAAGTTAAATTTCTGTGCATTTTAATAGTCCACGGACATTGTTCTCAAGATTGTTTTCTGTTTATGTTGGATGGGCAGGTTGGGGACCTCATGCGTACTTTCAGATGCTGGCAGAGTCTCAAAATCGCGATGAGGCCTTGTCTCCCAATGCCAATAGTCTCAGTGTGCAGCAAACAGAGCTTGAGAGTATATACATCCAGTCTCAGCATGGTGTTGAAACATCACGAGGCTATAGTGGAGACACAAACCCCATTCTGAATGGGCGGGAAAGTGGGAGACACTTGAGTGTAGGCTGACTGTAGAGAAGAATAGAGTTAGTGATCAGGTGTTCATATTTTAGGATCGACGCCGTGTGAATTTCATACACAGATCTCAGAATGCAGATGAAATTTGGACCATCCTTTTTTTCTTGAGTTTGATTAATTGATTTATTTTGTAGGTGTTTTGAGGAGTTCATATTACATTGCTTCTGTTCCCTTTTCTTTTATACTGGTATATGGCTGGCTATGATCTTATATTTTGAAGTGACATGTATTATGTATAGCTATGTTTGAATGATATTATTCTTTTCTAGAAGCAGCCACGTTCAAAATTAAATGAAATTAATCCTCAGGGTTCAGACAAAGAAGAAGAAACCGAAGACAGAACAGAACCCAGGATTTCCTTCATCAACACTCCCTGGTGCCCACCATCCGCTTTTCGCATTTCACATTTCCAGAATTTTGGGTTGGTCAATAAGCAAACCTCAGGGTCCTAAAGCTGGGCCCGTGTCAACACGGTGACACAAGTGTGCACGTCCAGAAGCATGGTGGCGGTGGCCCAATGCCTGGTTGAATGGACAGGCCATCTTCTGAAGAAGACGCTGAATGAAGGAAGAATCTTCCCATTTCGATTTGTTTTTTTTGTTTTTTTTGTTTTTTGTTTTGGTCAATAAAAGCTTTCATTCAAAACGAAGGAAAGACAACAAAGGGGAGAAACAGACAAACCAAAGACAGAAAGAAAGGGAACAAACAGCAGCAACAACGACTAAACCCAACAACTAGAACAACAGAGGCCAGAGACCAGTAGCTATGACGCCTCCAAAAGGGGAGCCCGTCCGCCTCCAGCACAGACTCCCTAGCACTGCGGGGGGCAAGGAAGTCCGTCAGCTTGCAACACATAAACCAAAGAGGATGGGGGGCTAGAAGCCCAAACTTCATCGCACATCCTCCTTCTAGCTCGCTGAGCTGCAGCATCCGCTGCTCGGTTTGCCCCTCGATTTGTTTTAACATTTACATTTGGAGGTTCAATTTAAAAGTAAAACAAATGGGCCCCATAATTCTCTCTTTTAAATTGACACAATCAAATTAAACGATAGAAAAAAGTTTGATTTAAAAATAGGTATATGATTTTCCCACTCCCCTTTTCTTTACTTATACGCCCTTTTACGTTTTAGTTAATTTTGTTCTTTCTCTTTCCTATTTTACCCTTATCCTACATTAATTTCTTTTTACTTCAATTTTATATTAGTTTTTTTTTTCTTTATACTTAATTTTGCAACTTGCACTTCATTTTCAGTATTTTTTTTTCCTTTAATTGTGTAAGAAATTAAGTTTTTTTTTTTCCTTTTAATACTAAAAATGGAGTGTAAGTTGAAAAATTAAGTATAAAGAAAAAGAAATAATATAAAAGTGAAATAAGAAAGAAATTAATGTAGGATAAGGATAGAATAGGAAAGAAAAAGAACAAAATTGATAAAAAAAAAGTATTAAAAAGCAAAAGGGAGTGTAAGCGGAGAAATTAGCTCCCTAAAAATAAAACAACAGAAAAAAGAAAAGAAAAGAAAAAAAAAAAAAGGACCAACAAGATAACATGTACGTACTTTTAAACTAGAATTCACACAACTCTGCAACTGTCTATCATCAAGCACCTTAAGAATGGAAAATACTCCCCTTGTACCATGTAAGTAGGACGAGTTCACGCATTTCTATTAATATAGCAGTGTAACATGTGTGCATAAGTTTTCGTTTTTGTGAATTATTTTTGCATATGTGTCAAACTTTAATTCGCAGGAAAGAAGAGTATTTCCTCATGGGGAAAAAGATAAGTTGTATCCCTTAAGAATTATTGTGACATAATTGATGTTTTTTATTTTCCCTTGCACGTAGGCAGCTGAAGAATATTGAATAATATGAACTATGAATTAATTTCTTCTGTATAGTATGAACTATGAATGGCATTTAGATTTGGATAGATAGCACAAAAAGTTGGTTTGGTGATGGACTAATGGTCACCTAATTTCCCAGCAATTAAGCACCTTTTTGTTGGTATGTACGGAAGAGTCCTATTCAAGTCAGAGTTGGAGCATTAGACCCTAAATTATGGATTTGGACTTAGTAATCAATTTAAGCATGAGAATACATCGATAGCATATAATAATATACCATGAATTGGATTTAGTAAAAGCGTACTTCATCAAATTTATTATTCAATTTGCTACAACATTAGCCTCTTTGCCTGGTCAGACAGACAATATTGACCAAGTACACTTGAAAACTCACTCGTCTCTCATATTCAACGCCACCCCCATTTTGACCTAGCACCATTTCCTCTCCTCCTATATAAACCCCCCTTACCTCCTCTCTTCTCACACTTGTCTCAAAACTCAAAACATCTTTTCTTAATTTGAAGCCATTTCTTGACCTAATAAAAAAACAAAGATGGAGATTGCTCCCGTTGCATACTACGACAACTTGAAGAGGTACTGGAGAAGGAGAAGGTACCAGAGGCTCAATGGTGACTCCAAGAAGAAGATGAGGGTCACAAGGCTTGGCGGAGTCAAAACTACCAGAAGGATTTGGAAGCTCAGAAGCGCCATGCCAAAGCTCAGGCTGATGAAGTTTGTCTCCCCACTTAAGCTCTTGACAAAGTTCCACGATGCTTACGTTGACATGATGTATAGGATGGCCGGCAACGCTGCGAGTGTCGGAAGGATTTCGGGGAAGAAGGTTGCGAAAGCTCAAGACCAGATTTCAATGGCTTCTTGTGGAGAGGAAGTTGATGGTAGATTGGTTTTGGAAATATACAAGAGATTGGCTGCTTCTCGCCAATTATTGATTGATTATTGAAGCAAAAGCAGCTTCTTCAAATATTTGTGTTATCAAATTCTTTTATAATTTTATTTCCATTGATTTATCAGATTGGCTCTAGCGCTGTTTCTTCATTCTCTGAAGTAGTAGCTCACGGGGCATGTTGTAACTAAAAAGTTTGGGATTGTACAAATTTTGTACTCATGGGATGGGATCCTTTCGAGCACTCAAGTCAATAACGTTAATGAAGATTTTCGTATGCCACTATAATTTTTACGTTTTCATAATTTAATTACGTGTTTGGAGATAATTTTTTGATTAAAGTCAATATTAAGGGATTGACCCAAAAAAGTCAATATTAAGGTATGCAATAAGCCTCCTCCCCTCCTATATGTATAAACCATCTAGAATAAATTCTTTAACCATGCGGTTTGCCCGTGTGAGTCAAAAAACATGTACAAAGCGAATGCATGCAGACGCAGTTGAGTATAGATCTGATGGTCAGAATTGGTGGTGGATTATGTCGGCCGAGAAGTGGGACCTTCTCATACCAAAAAATAAAGGGTAACTGCCGAATACCCCCTTAATTATTTCGATTGTCAAAATGTTCATCTTGAATTAATTTTCAGTCAATTTAGCTATTGTATTAAATTTATTAGCCAATTTTGCCCATACTATTAGCTTTTTCACAATTTCATCCAAATCCCCGTCAAAAACACCACGTGAATGGCACATGCTGCTTTGTTGATGGTAATCTCGTCTTTTTTCAACTTCGCTGCTTATCTTCCAAAATCACAGGGAATTATAACAAACACCTTCCAAGCACTCGAGCCATTTGCTATCAAAGCCATAAGCGATGGTTCTTGCGTTCCAAATCATCAAACCCTGCCAATATTCCACATCGGGCTGTTGAATTTCGGCAGATGAAGTAGCAGAACATGCAACTGTTATGAGATCACAAATCCATCTTTTCTAGGGTAACATGCTTTTTGAGTGATGTCAGGTTGAATGCAAATTGGGGCTGGATGGTTGGAAGAAAAACCTGGATGCTGTGTCGAGCGGTTTAAGCTTGCTGGAGCTTCTAAGGCTGACATTTCATTAGTTCTGAAGAACCATTTCTCCAATGGCGATGGAGTTGAGGGAGATGGGAAAAAGGTTCGTAATTTAGGTAGTGATGTACTTGTTGAAGCCAATAAAGACAATGAGATTAATTCTTCTAGGGAAGTGAGATAATTTATTTTAATGGTGGCTTCCGTGAATAATCTTCAATTTGTGCTTGTTAATCATGAGAATAATCTCCACAGGCTGCTATTTTGCGCCACAGATGTGTAGGTGGGTTTGTGACTCATTGTAGGTGTAATTCAGTGCTTAAAGCAGTGACCTACGGGGTGCCAATGGTGGTGTGGCCTTTGTATGCAAAGCAAGTGGTGAATGGTGTTGTTTTGGTGGAGGAGATGAAGCTGGAGATACCAGTTGAGTCAAAAGAAGGGTTTGTGAGTGCAAAGGAAGTGGAGAAGAAGGTGTCGCTATTGATGGATGAGAAAGGTCTGAGATTAGCCTCAACAGAAGCCACACGTGCTATTCACGTGGTGCTTTTTACGGGCATTTGGATGGAATTGTGAAAAGTTAACGGCAACGGCAAAATTGGTGAATAAATTTAATACAATAGTTAAATTGGTTGAAAAATTAATACAAATTTATAAATAAACTCAATCCTAAACATGTATTTATAAAAAAATCCAAACACTATTTAAACATAGAAACACACCCAAAATCAACAATTGTATATTTTTTTGGTGTGTTTATAAATGAGTTTTGAGTGTGTGTAATGATGAGTTTTGGGTGTGTTTATAAAGTGTTTTGGGTGTTGGGTTTTTTTATAATTTCAGCCCCCATTTTGGGTGTTTTAGTAAAACTCCCAAAAATTAATTCAGGATGGACATTTCAACAGTTGAAATAGTTCAAGAGAGTATTGGGCAGTTTATCCAAAAATAAAATTTGTCCCATACGCCTAAGGCCCGTGATATAGTCTCTTTTGGCCCAAGGGAGAGGAGCTCCAACAAGACCAAATTATGAATTTTCCAAGTGTTGGGCAATAATAATGTGTTTTTAATTTTGTTAACTAAATTAAGTAATTCTATGGATACCCTACCAACACTAGTATTTGTTCTTGGTATATGGAAATGTGTTGCGTATTTGTTAATGTTTTATACGTTTTTTTGTTTGTTTTTGTGATAGCATATTATACCATGGATTGGATTTCGTATAAGAATACTTGATCAAACTTAATTATTCAATCATTAAAAGATTAGCCTTCGCCTGGTCAGACG